AGACAATTAGTTCTAGGATGAGAAGTTGGACAAACTGACAAGGATTTGCATTAGTAACGGATACCCCAGAGCATTTATAGAAGAAAAATATAGAGATTATAAAGGGCCGATTTCAACTCTGCTTTATTAAAATCAGATCAGAAATCAGGATGAATACCAAAAGTGGATGTGCTTGCCCTCATCACAACTGAACCAACAAATGCGAATGTTACTAAAGAAATGGAATATCAGGGTTCAGTATAAAAACCAAACGGCTGCAGTACAACGGAGGTCAGCTGTCACCTGATAAGCACGATCTACGAGTCTGCATCATGCATTTTCATATGAAATCTATGACTTCACAACAATCAATTTCCATTTTTCGTATGTAATTAGGGTTTCGAGACTATCAATAAATAAGTAATATGAGAAGTATTCACCTTATTTCATTTAAGGTGACGAAGTACTGGTTGTAGAATTTTCCCACAATGATATGAGTAGAGTTGACGTTTTAATTGAATTTCACATAGAAATTAAAGAATTTATGTACATTTGAGATGATACATTATATTTGTTCGGTGATATATGTTGTGGTTCATAGTCATGCATTTTGAAATAAAGTACTTTTTGACACCACCTTTCTTTATGTATCGATTCGACTAAAATGATCAATTATAACTGTAAACCATTCAGTATATAAATATAGTTAAATTACTTATATAAAAATCTGAATATATAGTAATTGCTTAATTGATTATTGTCTAAAATGTTCATAATTTGCAAGTATTATTACTTGTTTTAATCCATTTTTAATCAAATCCCACTAATTAAATTTCTGTTTCAAGAATTTGTCTACTTTTATGCTCGTCAACTGATTGTACAATTGTACTTATTTACTTTTGCCGTAGTTTTTAACATACCTTGCACAATACAAGTGAAATATATTCTATGTATATGTAGTGTGCGTCTTTATTTATGTGATATACTTGGCCAAACTTTCAGTGCCACAATACGCCTAAACAATTTTGTAAATCTTTTCATATGAGTTTGTGTGCTAAATAAAAAGTCTTGACTTATTTGTATACGCGGAAGCCTTTATTTATTTGCTCGTCTTGTCCCTTGTTGACGCTGATGTGGATTTCATATGCCTGCGCGCTGCTACTGTATCATTGTTAACTTCTGCGGTTATTATTCTGCCGCTCAAATTTATTTTATATTTACTAATTATTTATAACTTCAATTCACAGTTTCCTTACCCGGTGTCAGCACTTCACTTTAGCTACTTGCCCTCTATTTAGTTCAAGTGTGGTTTTTTAGTTGCTTACTCACCGTTCCTTAACTATATAATCTTGATCGGTATCCTAATTTGATAGCTTTTCACTGTATATAAAAAAGTCACATTGCATTCACCATTTTTGCTAATAGTTTGCGCTGCAATATTTACATTGACTTTTTCTGCCCCATACAAAGTCAGTAAAAGATAAGGTTAAGTTCTACGAATCAATAGTAGAAATGATCTTGGATTTCGTTCTAGCCAGTATTTAAAACGGATCTTGGTTACATTGATTCTTCTCTTTGTTCGTGTAGTATAGTGGAAGTTGTCCACTTTTGTAACTTCAGTGCAAGCTTCTAAATCTACACAAAATTATTGGATTTAAGGGCCAATTAGTATTACTGTCCTATCCTACCCGCTAATCTCATTCCGAATTCAAATGCCCTCTTAGTTCATACTTTGATATCCATTCTAGTTAATTAAGGCCTTTATTTTAAAAGCAAGCATTCAGCCATCTCCTTAATTTGTTATTTAATCCTAGCTTAAGGAAATTATTCATACACCTCCATGTGCTTATTCATATTCATGCTTATTCAACTCTTGATTATTAATTCTATTTACTTAGGCGGAAGTCGACAATACGCTTAGTGAGTCTTCTCTACTGCGCATGCGTCAGCTTGACTCTTGGTTACCCTCGGAACAGACTAAGCGAGCTTTGCTTGCACTGGCTTCTCGTGATCCGATTTCCACTATTTCCGGCACTCCTAATCCATCAGGGCCTATGCAGTCAACCTTGCCTGGCCTTTTGGCTACACCAAGCATTGATCTTCTTAGTGATCCTTATAAAACTCTCTTAGTTCATTACCTACCTGGCAGGGAGGCCGCTGCTGATGCAGTTAGGACTGTATTAACTGCGGAGGATGTCAGTCAGAATGTAGAAGGCCTAAAGCAGTTGATGGTACGATTTCTTTTACACCATTTATCACATTGATTGTTAGAGGAAAGTCTTTTTTTCGCAGTGGCATTTGTTAATAATAATCCTTGGAAATGTCATCGAAATTTTAGTGATGATAAGTACCTCTGATAAGTTACCTGAAAAATCAAAAAGAGCGCTGAAAAGGGAAATAATCCCAGCAACCCAGTAACAATATAACTAGAATATATAAAAAATTTCGAAGAAATCATCATATAGTCCTGTTAGTTGACAAAGGAGGTACCACAGTGATGATGGACAGGAAGGAATATCAAGAGAAAATGGGAAATATTCTCGGGGGCACTATAATGTATCGATTGTTGGCAAAAAAACCCCAACAGTTAAAATTAAAGGGGAACTGCAAATGATGCTAAAGGAAATGCATATAAACGGGTAAATCGATAAATGGACAATTAATCAAATCATACGAAAGGATGCAAGAGCTCCAGTAGCATACGGTTTGCCGAAGGTACGCAAAGAAAGAGAACCATTGTGATTGAGAGTCAGCAACAAGCAGGAACTAGTACATAAAATAACGAAATTTATCTGCCTCTGGCAATTCCTCTAATACGAATGTAATGATAATTTGGATTTTCTCTATTTTAATGTTTAGATGCGTGACGAATTTAAACTCTTTAAATACTTCTGAATCAATTCGTTTTTGGTTGATGTTAAGAAGACAGTTCAAACTCGCGACAACCATGTGTGAGCTCTGCGGCATCTGAGGAATGATACTTCTATTTAAGATGTTGATCTCGAGAAACATTTTCTTTGTCCTTATATATCCGTGTATGATATTTTAGTAGATTGAACGCTCAGCATCTGAACCATTCCCCATTGGCTCTTAAAATAGCTTCGCAATTGTCTACGTAAACTCTAGAGTGTTTACTATGCCTTATTAGAATGTCTGAAAAATTATTTTAGGTGTTGATTTGTGCGTTCTAAATGTTTTATGCATTCGATTCTATCATTCTTAGCTTGGGTTTCTATTTTCTTATTCTTATTATTCCTTTTTCGTGACGTTGATACAGCTAGGAGGTTGGTTTCGCAGCGCATTAGAT